TGGATGAGGCCCACCCACGTTATGGAGGGAAATCTGCTCGAGGCCAAGTTCACTGATTTAAATGTTAACTTTATCCAAAACCACCCTTCAAGTTGACACATAAAATTAACCATTAGAGTCAGCAAGGCTGCAGTCAGGAAGAAGAGTCAGGTACAGAGGAGGGAAGAACAGGGCCAGAGCTAGACTCTGCCAGCAGTGTGCCTTTATCCCTCTTTGAATCTATCAATGGTGATCTGGAAAGAGCAATGGCTCCTGTTCACTTCTCTCTTCCAAAACTTGCTCAAGTTTCACAAAAAGGAGACTTGTTAATCATCATTCTAGAAGACAGGTTGCCATAATAGAAAACTACAGAGCACACTCCTTGCCAATACACGCATACCTTCTTAATCCTATTTACCTTTCTAGCGTGGTGCACCTGTCTCTCCAACAACCCCAAACATTTCTCCCTGCAAAAGTACAAAGTCTCACTTAGTCCACTTCCGAGTGATATTATTCCTCTCAAATTGTACCAAAGTCTTCCTTTGCTATTTTGTAACTTAAATACTGAAATATAAGGTCAATCATGAACAAATCTGAGAGTAGATACTGGCATAAGGGGAGAGGAGGAAGAAGAGAATAACAATTGGCTGATATATCCACAAATGACACTGGATCCAAGTCCAGCTGCTCACCGCACAACAGGCCAATCAATTCCAGAGACAAGGTGTTGAGGCGGGAAGGTGACTGGCTGAGAAGATGCAGGAGTCCATCTTGCTGGAGGCAGTTGATGGACATTTCCAGAGTGGTGGGCTCCTTCTCACAGTGGATGATGGGGAACCTCAGATGGTGGGTGTCTTCTCACAGGGGGTAGCCGGAGGATGCACATCTGATCCAAATAACCTGTCAATGAGATAATTTTCAGTTCTGCAATCTTGAGAGCAAAGATCATCATTTCCCCACGCTGATCTCTTACAAGTTGGTTCGCCCACATGCAGTTCCTGACACATTACGTGATGGACAGGCTGCAGGGAATAACAGCCCTGAGGTGCTCTTGCTGACTGCCAGACTTACAGTCATGAAAACAAACCTCCTTCATGTGTGGCCTCACAAATACCCATATCAAATAAGAAAAGCAATAGTCAAAATTATTATAGCCATTTTTTTTCTATCACTGCTAGGTGGGCCTAACTGGTGTTTACAATTTCCCTCTTCCTCTACCCATTCTAGCTAGTCATTGTTTTGCTTGACAGGATGACCTCAACTTTTATTCTTTGTTATACAAACAACTTCATTGCTGCAAAATTTTGTCTACCATTTTTTTCTTTATTTTTTAAATTTTTTTTCATTAGCTACACATGACATTACAATGATCTTGGCAATTCATACATTTCAATCATTGGGGTATAATTTCTAATTTTTCCAATTGTGCAGATTGTAGAATCACACTGGTCATAGAGTCCCCTATATACATACAGCAATCATAATACCATTTTGTTCTTGTAACTGAGCTGTCAATAGACAATTCAGCTGTTCTATCACAGCACAGGCTGATTGGAAGCATGGCTAGACTAGTAAATTCTATATTCATGAGCTTGTTGTCTTACTTTAGTCGATGTAGAATGGTTGACTAGGTTGGAACCCAGGCTCTGTGGAATACCATAATAATTAATGAGGCCGTCTCAGAGTCAACAAATATTGATTTTGGCAGAAGCGTTATGAACAGGGAAGGCAAAGTCACAAGCAGAATAAATGTCTTTTTCAGTCAGAATAAACCACTGTCCCTCATGCAATATCTTCAGATGACGGGTTAATTTTCCCAGGGAATGAGGATGTATCAGAGACCCACTGTGGAGCTCCATTGCTGGAAGATTGAGTACTCAACAGTAGTTGGACCAGATTCATTTCACTGGGCCCCTATAGCTCCTCCCTCTTTTCTGCCATGACCACTTGTTCAATGCAGATTTTGGGCAAGAACTGGTGAGGTTTGACAAAGAGTCAAATGAAGAGTCACACAATAGGTCAGATTGTATTATTAAGACTCACTCTCCCAGCGTGGTCATTAGTGAACCGTCACACGGAATCCAAGCATCTCACATTGTGCCCACTTGGAGAGCTCCATCTGTATACCTCTTTCCAATAACTATGTTGTCATCATTTTTTTTAAAAGCATGCTCTTTCTAAGTTCCTGTTGAGTCCAAGCATACACGAGTGTAGGTGACCATCTATGGTTGTCATCGCTGGAGGTTCTGTCCACTAGGAGAATTTCATTTGCCATTGTCTTTCAGGGCCATTTTTGAGTGTGGCTGAGGTGTTATAGTTGCCTATTTTGGGGTGATGCCAGCTTATCACCTAGAACCATCTATAAATCAGGCTGAAAACTTTTCTTCCTCAGTCAAGTAAAGGTGAGGAATTCCCCCTAAGACCATATCTATTGACACATAACTCATCCCCTAAGTTTAATGACTTAAAATCATTTATTTGCTTTCTGGTTTGTGGGTGAGGAGTTCAGAAGGTGGGGACAGCTTGCCTCTGCTCCACTGGTGTTTGCTGGGACTGGACCATTCCACAAGGCCTGACTGGGGTTGTACATCTGTTCTTACTGTCCACTGGACTCCTCGGTTCTCCTCTGCAGCCTCTCCCTCTCTCTGTGTCATCTTCAAGTCATCCTTCTGGCAGTGTAGCTGAGCAGGGTTAGTGTTCCTAAGAGCAAAAGTGCAGAGCTGCCGTGCCTTGTAAGGCTTAGGTCAAGAGCTGTCATAGAGTCAATTCCTCTGTGTGCTAGTATTTCCTAAGCAAGTTGGGTCAGTGTCATCTATGTACCTCTGAAAGATAAAAGGACTACCCAAGGGCATAAATACTGATAGTCAGAGAACCTCTCTAGCTGAATAGTAGTAAATACGCAGTTGATGGAGCACACCTGTAAACCCAGTAACTTGGGAGGCTGAGACTGGAGGATGGCAAGTTTAAGACCAGCCTCAGCAACTCAGTGAGCCCCCCAGCAACTTAGTGAGACCCTGATTCAAAATGAAAACTAAAAAAGGCTGGAATGTAGCTCAGTAGTAAATCACCCCTGGGTTAAATTCCCAGTAACAACAACAACGAACTACACACTTGAGTCTCCATATCTGTGGGTTCCACACCCTTGGATTTAAACAATCATGAATGGAAAATATTCGAGAAAAAAAA